GGCTGGAGATGTGATTGCGCTGATGCTACATACTATCATATATGGTGGACTTGTAAAAAGGTTAAAGCATTTTGGATAAAAATATGGTGGATTATGCAAAATGTTCTTAAAAAAAGGATAAAGTTTACCCCTCAGTTATTTTTGTTAGGTATAATTACTGATTGTACAGTTATAGAGACTAACTTGATTTTGCACTTAATAACGGCAGCAAGACTGTTGGTGGCGCAATACTGGAAGAAGGAAGATTTGCCTACTATTCCAGAATGGACATTGAAAGTAACAAACTTAGCAGAGATGGCTAAAATATCAGCATATCTCAAGGACCATTCCAATGAGAAATATAAACTGGAGTGGAGAAGATGGATTGACTTATATTCAAAATAAATGCGGGACTAAGAAATTCCAGATAGTTTATGACTGAAGAAACAAGGAATGATATAATCTGTTTAGACTTAGCCTAGCTAAGAGGAGTTAAAGCTCAAATGAAAGATGATACTAACTTTTTTTTAAGTTTATTTTAGAATATCTTTGTTAAAGATTTATACCCTGTATTGGTTCTGGGAAGTCGGGGGGGGGGGGGGTTGGGGGGGGGTGTTTGGGGAGGGTTGGAGGTAATATTTGTAAAAGGTTTTTTTTTTCAAAATTTTCAATAAAAAAAAATTATATATCAATGGAGAGATAATTTAATCAAAAATGTAATGCAACAAAGTTGGTTCATATATTTGTATTCAATGAAAAGTTATAGGTCAGAAGCGACCCAGCAATAAAACCCAGTTAATAGAAGTAATCAAACCCATCCAGCAATTGGGCAGAGAACCAGTTGCTAAAAATTTCCAATTCACCACTGCTAGAAATCATGGTTAAATGCTTGGCTACTATGGGAAGCCTTTTGAGATACGGAGAAGTTGGCAAAAATGTGGGTTGCCTGAACCGCCACGTCAGTAAAAACTCGCAAAATTATATTCCCAACTACTTATGTACTTACAGAATTATACAATTTAATCTCCTTGAGGCCTTGAACAGAGGGTTGGACTAGAGGACCTCCGAGGTCCCTTTTTATGTTCTACTTAGAGCTCATTATGGACTTTCCAAACAAACAAGCGCAGAAGAAAATGTATTAAGAACTGGTTTCAAATTTTATTTTTTTCCCCACCTTTCCAGTTTTGAAGCAAGTCTGTTTCATTTCAAACATCAATATTATCCTCCTTTTACAAAAATAAACAAATACCTCTTTATTTTGTTAAGACAGCAAAGGTCTAGTTTCTCAGCATGGTTTCGTTACTTTATTTTGGGGTTTTACTTGATGGATTTTATTTATTTTTAGCAGCAAGCAGGAGCTGTCCAAATAATTCTCCAAAATACATTGGGGCTGCCGCACAGCAGCTAAAGGACAGGGAGCCACGTTGGATTTCACGACCTTTTCGGGCCACAGTTGTTAAGCAAAATCACGCCCGTTGTTAAGTGAATCGCACGGCCATTAAGCAAATCCGGCTTCCTCCATCGACTTTGCTTGTCAAAAGCTGGCTGGGAAAGTCCCAGAGGGTGACCCACATCACCTTTCGGGATGCCACGACAGTCATAAGTGTGAGGACAGGCCATCATTCTTATTATTCAGGCCATTGTTCGGGGGGGGTCAAATGGTTTTTCAAACGAAGGTTTGTAAATCGAGGACTACCTGCAATGCTATATAAGTGGGGGCCCTTCTCTTTGGGGCAGCCCCTCCAATACTGGAAGCCTGCTATTAAATCCCCCCTGGTCCTTCTTTTATTTAGACTGGCCTTTAAACCTCCATTTCATCATCTCCTCTGACTCACTTGATCCGAAGATCGAAGTGAAGACCACCTGGAGATGCCTTTTCCATCCAGCTCTCTCTACAACCTGCCTCGACCCTCCAGCTGTATTTGCTACATCCTTGGTCCATCTGTTGGGGCAGCTTCCAGCATCTGTTGGCTGCTATCTCTTTCGTTCCTTTCCAAGGTGGCTTCCCTTAAGCCAGTGTTTTTCAACCTTGGCAACTTTAAGTCCTGTGGACTTCAACTCCCAGAATCCCCCAGCCAGCTGTGCTGGCTGGGGGATTCTGGGAGTTGAAATCCACAGGACTTAAAGTTGCCAAGGTTGAAAAACACTGCCTTAAGCTAAAGGTTCCCGACTCTAGGGGGCGCTGCTCATCTCCGTTTCAAANTTTTGGTAAAAATGAAGGAGACTCTTACGAACTTGATTTTTCTTATAAATGTAGCATTTTACAAATTGCTTGGAGAAAGAGCTTAAAAGAGAGCAACAGTGACATCTAGAGGCCAAAGGGAAAGTTGGAAGAGATAAAAGAGAAAGGGGGAATCAGGGGAAGGGTGTTAAAGAGTTTCTCAGGGCCCGTGAACTAATTTGATAATGAAGTTGTTTTGTCTGAAGAACTAAGACAGAGTGGAACTTAGAAATCCCTTTTTTTTCTTTTGTTTTAATAATGCAGCTTTTGGAACATGAATGGAAAAAAAACCAGGCAAAGCAACAGAACTCTTTGTGAACTCTCTCTTTAGACAGAAAACACCTGATTGTAATTGTATTATTATTATTTTTTGGAGCCTGGTGATCTGTTCTGCATTACAAATTATTATTTTATTGGTTTCCTTTCCTGCGATAATTTGGATTAGGATTAGAAGAACCTGAAGAAAAGAGCTTTTAAGAAGGATATACAAATTGATAAGATTTGGATTTGGATTATAAATCCCCTCCCCCTCCTTGCCCTTGGATTACAATTGAATTATATTACTTACATTATATTACTTACATTATATTACTTCGGCTTTGAAACAGAGATGAGCACCACCCCCTAGAGTTGGGAACCTTTAGGTTCCCCTCGCACATATGTGCTAGTTGTTCTCGACTCTAGGGGACGCTGCTCATCTCTGTTTCAAAGCCGAAGAGCCAGCGCTGTCCGAAGACGTCTCCGTGGTCATGTGGCTGACATGACTCAATGCCGAAGGCGCACTGAATGCTGTTCCCTTCCCACCAAAGGTGGTCCCTCTTTTTCTACTTCCATTTTTACATGATTTCAAACTGCAGAAGCTGGGACAAGTAATGGGAGCTCACTCTGTTGCACGGCAGTAGGGATTCAAACCACCGAACTGCTGACCTTTCTGGCCAACAAGCTCAGCGTCTTAGCCACTGAGCCACCCTTCTCTTGGATTACAATTGAATTATATTAAATACTTGGTGGATTACAAATACTAAGACATTACAACGTGAGGAAAGCAACATCAACAACATCCTCAGCATTAGCACCTACAACTTCTAGCTCTGCCGAACCAGAGAACATTGGATGTTTTGATCCAGCAAGAGAAAGCCAATGCATCACAAGCAGCGATAAAGACCATGATACAAGCTCTTCACGAGGATAGGAAGGAAAGAATAGGGGAAGTAGATGAGAAAATGGAGGTGAGAAAAAGCCTAGAGGATTTTCAACAAACAATGGAGAAAAGCGAACAACGTATAGAAAATGTAGAAGAGAAAGCTGGGCGAACAGAAAAAAGAGCGGGAGAACTTGATTAAAGGCTCACAGCGGCAGACCAAAACAGAAAAAATGATAGTTTCTTTAGAGATGGATAGAGCAGATTTTTATTTGAGATTTCAGAATATGGAAGAAGAAAAGAGAAAATCTAGGGAGACAATGGCAGATATGTTGGGGGAAGCAATGGAAGAGCCCAAGGAATTTTTTTTGAATGAGATAGATGAGATATTTAGCGTGCACACTAGATATGCGACAAGAAATAGATATCCTAGAGAAGTTCGTGTTAAGTTCACCAAGAAAGCAATAAAAACTTTGCAGAGCGCAAGAGATAACCCTTTGAAGTATAAAGGGAAATAAATTTTAGTATTAAAACAAATCCCAAGAACAGTAAGAGAATTAAGAAGAGAATATCAGTTCTTGACAAAGTGTTTAATTAAAAAAGGAGTGGATTTTAGATGGCTGATGCCAGAAGGTATATTGGTAACCTAGCAAGAGCAAAGAAATAACTAGATTCAATAGAAAAAGTGGAACAATTCTATGACCAATATTAACATGGTTGGAGGAGATGATGTAATAAATAGCATATTGATCTGAAATCTGAATTATTTTTGCTGGGCATTTTACCAAAAATTTATAGTAAAGAAAACGTATATTTGATAATCCATGTAATAACTGCAGCTAGGATTGTATTGGCACAAAAATGAAGATATCCCTATGGATGTGGATGTGATTCGGAAAATATTAGAATGTGCAGAAATGAATAGGTGAACACTTGAAATTAAAGAGAAGGAACAATCTGATTATCACAATATATGGGGATTATTTTATCAATGGTTAGACAATAAATATGAAAAGGGGAACAAAGCAGAAGAGTGAAATAGAAAATGGTTTAACAAAGTTAAATAAGTTAAGAAGAGGATTGTTATAGCGTTAGGTATGGTATACATTCGTATCAGCATTAAGAATAGATAAAATAGTAGATATGGCTGTAATTGCTTTTGTATAAAATATTTGCACAAAATAGATGTATCCAGACGACATACTCTATTTAATGGAAGATATTAGTCTGCTGGTGGACAAAAATATGCCAAACTAAGGAATATTGAAGGCCAAACTTTTGGTGGTCTTCCCAGAATCCCCCAGCCAGCCTACTTCAACATGGGGGGGAACTTCCATTCCCAGAACTCCAGCTAGCGACGTATGATTTAAGATGGGTGGACTTCTTCAACTCTCCTAAACTCCCCAGCCAACATGCTTTAAGATGAGTGGACTGCAAGTCCCAGGATTGCCTAGTCATCATGGGGAATTCTGGGAGCTGAAGTCCAGACATCTTAAAGTTGCTGTGGTGGAGAAACACTGCAATAATGCATTCAAGAGCTTTTGGATGCTGGATTGAATGATTCTAGTGCAGTGTTTCTCAACCTTGGCAACTTGAAGATGTCTGGACTTCAACTCCCAGAATTCCCCAGCCAGCATTCGCTGGCTGGGGAANTGTTAAGTGAATCCAACTTCCTCATTGACATGTCAGAAGGTCGCCGAAGGGGAATCGCGGGGCACTTCGACCGTCATAAATACGAGTCAGTGGCCAAGCGTCCGAGTTAAAGTGATCATCAGGATGCTACAACGAAGTGTGAGAAATGGGTCATACCCTGGAGGATGCCGGACGGTCGCAAGTATGAAAAACAGCCCTTTTTCTCCAGCGCCGTCGTAGGTTCAAACGGTCGCTCAATGAACCTGTTATAAGTCGAGGCTTCCCGTACAGGGAGAACTGCCTAAACTTGCACCCAGGACATTGGCACGGAGAGACAGCAGGCTAACCACGTGGTTAAGGTGCTCAGGATTGGAGTAAGGGCCCAGGTTCCATTGTCCGCCACGCCCAGGCGATCTTGAGGTATGAAGGCATCACCGGTGAGCTGGCAGTGCCCGCTGGTCCAGAAGAGGCACTGCGGTGCTCCCTGGCATCTACTTCTCCTTGGCGCCCTCCGACTCGGGGAGGCCGCCCTGCAGGATCCGGATGGAAGCTGGCAAGCGGAAGAGGGCCATGGCAAAGGCAGAAAACAGGGCAAGGTTGCCCAGCATGGTGGCACCCAGAATGGCGAAGGTATGGGTGAACATGCCCGGCGGGGTGTGGGCGCTCAGCCATGTCCGCCGAGAGTTCAGGTCGCCCAGGATGGCTTCCAACTGGAAATGGGTGCCCACCACGGCACAGATGTGGAACAGCTGGTGGCTGTGGCCTACAGATAGGGGAGGGGAGGGGAAGGGAGGGAGAATAACAGAATAATAGAGTTGGAAGGGACCTTGGAGGTCATCTAGCCCAACCCTCCCCCCCCCAAGCAGGAGACCCGACACCATTTCTGACAGAGAGCAGTCCAGTCTCTACTTCAAAGCCTCCAGGGATGAAGAATGAGAAAAGGATACGGAGAGAAATGACCCAAAATAATAGCAGAGTTGGAAGGGACCTGTTGTGGGATGTGCGCCACCGGCCCCTCCAGCAGCCGAATTGGAGGAGGGGGAAGCGTGGGAGGCAGGGTCAGCATCAAGGCAACCTGAGAGCTCAGAGGGGGAAGAGGGAATGGAGCTGGCAGAGAGAGAGAATGAGAGAGAGAAAGTGAGAGAGGGAGGGAGGGAGGGGGAGGGGCAGAGAGAGAATGAGAGAGAGAGAGTGAGAGAGGGAGGGAGGGAGGGGGAGGGGCAGAGAGAGAATGAGAGAGAGAGAGTGAG